AGTATTTTTAGTTAAGTTTGGACTAAGGCTGTAATGAAATTTGCAGCAGAGTGTCCCTGATAGACCACATACTGAACACTGGTGGGCAGGTTATTACTGAGATTAGTAGAGGTAGTTCTTCTATAATGCGATAGTTGCGTTCTTGTGTGATGTTGTGCTATAGAAAATCGCACTATAGAAAATTGCATTATAGGGAGATTGCTATAGAAAACTGCTATATCTGTACAGCAACAAGTTCATGTTATCCAAACAGCATCCACTATTCATCAATCGCATTACAGTCAGGTTGTGTTAACGAAACATGCGTTAAAGCAGAACCATGTGTACAGAATATTTTTTCCTTTTTTTATATATCTACACCTTTTGTCACTTCGTGGACGATTGAAAGTAGACTGATAGAGACATAAAAATACTGAAAGAACTGAAGATGCTGTAAATCAGGAACAAAAATAGAAGTTGCTGGACAAGCTCAGCAGTTCTGGCAGCATCTGTGAAGAAAAACCAGAGTTAATGTTTCGGGTCCAGTGATACTTCCTCAGAACTAATGGAGACATAAGTAGTCAGATTGAACTTGTATTGTTTTTGTGGACAGAAGACATCTGGGCAAATATTTCCAGTGTTGAGTAAAATTACAGTGTTGTATCTATACTGGGATAGTTTCGCTAAGAATATAACTAGTTCTGGGACACAAGTCATTAGTACTTTAGCTGGGATGTTGTCAGGGTCAATAGCTTTTGCTCTATCATGCATTTTCAATTCTCATCTTTTTGTTTAAACCCTTCCACAGCTGCTCTCCTCCCTAGCAGTATTCCTCTTAAGGTGAACATCTGTGATGCCACTCCAAGATTCTATGCTGATTGGCTTGATTGATGTCAACACTTTGCCTTTCATGTTGAGAGGTTGCTACTGTAGAAGGACCTTAGAGGTCCACTTGTCTAAAAAAAAATTAGAGGGAGTATTGCTCCCTATCAATGCTCCCTGCCTGAATCCCTGAGCAGCCTTTCACTCTGACTGTGGCCTCTTTTGCATTTCTACTTCCTTTTGCCCTATCTTTGTCCTTGTCTTTCGGTGTGTGGAAACCCCTCTTGGAACAGTCATGTTATTCCACCAACCTTTGTAGAATCCGTCTCTTTTGTGGACCTCTGATCAACTTCAGCTTTTCTTCTTTTTGGCTTCAGCCTCTATGATGCGTCTTGGGGATGTTTTTCTACATTAAATTCACCATTTAAATGCCTGCTGATTGTGATTGTTTGTTGGTGTGCAATTGGTGAAATGAACCTCAAATTTGTTCAGTAGACAGATTAAAAATCTGAAGTTGAGATTGAAAAGATTGTGAAATTGATTCACAGGTTGTTTATATTCATATAAAAACCGAAAGAACTGCGGATGCTGTAAATCAGGAACAAAAACAAAGTTGCTGGAAAAGCTCAGCAGGTCTGGCAGCATCTGTGAAGGAAAAAAACAAGGTTAATGTTTCGGGTCCATTGACCCTTCCTCAGAACTCAGAACTTTATATTCATATGTTGTCTTATTTCACACATTTGAATGATTTGACATACTGGATTCAATATGATGTTTTATTTGTAGGCCTTGAAGAGAATCTCTTCTATTTGAAATATATTTCACAATGATTTGCACTCTAATCGTAAACTTGAACAGATTTAGGAAGAATCTATAATGCAATATGTTCATTTTTAGTGAGCAAGCCCTGTTTTTCTGTTTGAGGACTTTGATCCTACTGAAAATTAAACCTGATGCGAACTCAGTGTTGAAAGACAAGTTACTTAATCCATTAGACCAGAGAGTCCTGTTCAAAGTGATGCTTAAATTGTGAAGGTTTGGAGTTTAAGGCCACATACTGCCTTTCACAACTTCTGAATGCCTGCGAGGAAGGCATCATGCTTGTGTCTTCCTTTGTGAATACTTGAAGCAAGTAGTCGTTCAGAATGTTTACTATCTTGTACTTATCCTCTCTTTCCAGCCCATTAGACTGACAACCCTGGTGTGGCATTGAAAGAGTACTACATTATCAGATGTGCTGACCTTTTTTGGATGCGATGTTAAATTAAGGCCCCATCTGCCATTTCAGGTGGATGAACAAGATCCTAGTGCACTATCTGAAGGATAGCATGGGAGCTTGCCCTTGTGTTTGTTGGCCACTGCACTGTACCAGTGAAGCTCAGCGTAAACTTCAGGAGCAGGACCTCATCTTTTACTTTGGCTCTTACATTCTTCTGGTCTCAACAGTAACTTCCTGATTTCAGGGACTAATCTTGTTGCCCATTTCTAGATTCACTGGATTGATTCCAGAGATAAGGGGTTTGTCTTATAAAGAGAGATTGCTTAAATCTTGTTCCATTTTAAACTTAGTTCTGATAGAAGACTAAAGGCTTGAATTGTTACTTGTGTTTCTCTTCATCAATGTTGCCACAACCTGCTCAGTACCTCCAGCATTTTCTGTTCTTTTCAGATTTCCAGCATCCACAGTATTCTGCTTTTTCTCTCCTATCAATTTGGTTGAGTTTTTGCTTCATTTCTTTGAAATTAGGTGCTTTAAGTGTTGTACGACTGATTTGTTTGTCTTCTTCTAATCTTAAACCCAGATGATAACTGAATTTAATAATTCTGTTTTTGCTGCCTGCCCCCCAGAATTGCCACAACTGCAATGTTGGTACAGTATCTGGGCCATTAGTAAGTACCAGATCAAGTTGAGCTCTCTTTCTCTCCCAAATGACTTCCATTACCAGTGAGATCCTTCTTGTATGCCGGTCTGTCTGTACCACTGTATGCTGCCCTTGAAGCAGCTGCAGGGCGGATGAGACTGTCACACATCTCCTTCTAGAATGTGTCTTTGCAAAGGAAGTCTGGAGAAAGACACAGTAGTTTTTGTTGAGGTTCGTCCCAAGCAGCTCCAGTCCGTTTCCCGGGATGCACACTGAGACTAACATTGAATGCGCGTTGATTACCATCAACTTGGTAAAAGCCGCATTTTGCCCTGCCCAAAACTTATTGGTCTTCCTGAACAAGGAGTTGACCCTGACTGAATGTTGCAGACTGGCACATTCCAAGGTCCAGGACTATGTGCTGGGGTCTCAGTACAGCTTGGGGCAACTGCCGTTAAGGCAGTGTGGGGAAAGACCAGGCTGAGGTCTCTCTTTCAAAGTTAAATGGTGGTCTTTTCAGTTATTGGATTTTCCCAGTATCTAAACTATATGTAAATATAATCCTGCACAAGGAAAAAATGCCTTGGGTTTGTTTGTTGGATAGAGTCAAACTCCAATGTTAGTTTGTTTTCTTCATGTGCTACTGTTTGGAACTGAACTCCTTTAGTGATGATGTATGTTATATATATATAAAATATATGTATAACTTAATGAGTAATGTGTATTTTTGAAATGAAAATATCATTAAGCAGTCAGGCATTGCATTTACCAGCTCTGGCTCTCAAGCATTTAGGTTTTCCAATTTTGCTTTTACCTTCTCTGTGCTAATTCTTTTGGGTGGGAGGAGTTGTGGTGAATTAAGAGACCATGAACTAAGAATTTGCAAGAGTTGTGCAAAGAGAGAGAGAGAGCAGACCGCCCGTAAAATATTGAGAGTGGGAGAGAAGCAGGTACAGGAAGGGAGACACTTTAAAAATGTTTTTGACTGAGATTACCTCAATAAGAAGGAAAAAAAACTTACTTAAGTTGGCACAATTTCTTGTTGTATAAGAACACTTCCTATGTGTCTCAATTTATCACTTCGAATTTCTTACACCTCCAGTAATCAATTTTCAATCACCACTGCAGTATTTAAACCTGGTATTGTGCAACTGAAATACTTTCTACATTTGACTCAAATTTGGAAAAGCTGTTGGGTTGTCCTGCAGTAGTCCATTGTTGCAATTCACAGACATTGATTTTGATGTTACTCCACACTGAATGGGACTAGTGAGATGAAGTTCTGTGGCAACACACGACCCCAAGGTATTGCTTCTATTATTCTGCTTATGTTGTAGAGTGCCTTATCAATGTGAAACAATTTTAGGAGTCACATTTCTCTTCTCCCCAGTAATGTTTGTTTTTTGTTGTCAGATGACTCAGAAAGTTGATACTGTCACAAAAGCAAGTGCATCATGTTAAATTATACAGGATGGTATTCACTTTCAAATAATTTTTAACAATAAATTTCAGTGCAACATCTGATGCTCTTGCTCTCTTATGAATTTCTTGACTAATGGCATACTATATAAATCCTGGTTAATGCAGACTTATTCCTATTCATTATTTATGTAAGCTTCGTTGAAACAAATATTGATTGTGTTTGTGTAGAATAATTTCCTAATCTAGACAATGTAGTAAAATTATTTATTTCTGAGTATTAGTAACTGGATGCTGGATAATTGTGATATTGTTGATCTGACTTGAATGGTTCCTGTGGTATTTGGGTTTGAGTAGTCAATTAATAGTCTGACACTCTGAGACTGTAGGATCAGTAGGATACAGTCAGAAAAATGAAATTGTCTAGTCTGAGCATTTGGGATGCTGCAAAAAAGAGAATACCTGTTCAAATTAAAAAGCAATATCCAGGTCCAGAAAATCCTGGATACTGCAAGGAAGAAAGTAATTTTTTTTAATAATGAAGCTATCTTCCATGATGGAAATTATTGAGATTAAAAGCCCCCTACACGAGGCTGTGTGAGAACTAGTTGAGTTAGGGAAGAGTTCCTCTGCTGTACTCTTTAAAGGTTACTTAGTAATGATACTGGGTCCTTAATATGAGAAGCACACCATTTCCTGGTGCTAAACTCTTTTCCTTGATAACCGTAGTATTTACAAAAAAAAAGAAAATGTAGAATCCCTGACTATTTACCTAGATGCTTTCTGTTGGTGTTCAATTCACCACAGTAGTGATTATAGTTGAGAAGTATTTCCTTGACATTGAAGAACTTTGGGAAGTCCTGAGTTTATGAAAAGATACTGTTATATTCTTTCATGACAATTTTCTTTTCAATTTAGGTTGGAGAATTGAGCAGCTATGGCTACAGACTCTCCCCGCCGTCCCAGCAGATGTACAGGTGGAATAATGGTCCGACATCAGGCAGTCACGTAAGGAACATGCTTATTTTAATTGTTTAATACTGAAAACACTTGCTCCCTCTTAAATGAAATAGTAGTTATATAATCATAGAATTGTGATGTGCCTTTATTCCAAAGTCCTGAAAATGTTTTGTTTTCCTTCAGACAAATATCTAATTCCCGTTTAAAAGCCAGAATAGAATCTCCATTTACTTCTTTCACAGACAGTGCATTCTAGATTCCTAACCACTCACTTGGTAAAATGCCTTTCCATGTCATCTCAGATTCTTTTATCAATCACCTTAAATCAGTGTCCTGTAATTGTCCATCTCTCGTCAATGGAGAAAAAATGTCTCCCACTCTACGCTGTTCAGAAACCTTGCAATTTTGAATCAAATTTCCTCTCAGCTTCTCTTAAGAAGAATAATCCTAGCTTCACCAATCCATTCAAATAAATGAAATCTTTAATTTCTGGAATATTCTTATAAATTTTTTCAACGCCCTTGCTAAAAGCTTCACCTCTTTTCAAAAGTGATGCCCAGAATAAGGTGTATTATGATCCCAGGTGATGTTCTTACTGGACATGTCAGATCCTGGACAGAAATCTGACTTCGTAAATAATTTATTTTGACTTTAATATGATGGTGCCTCAGCATGCAATTGTGCAGATTTGGTTTTAACAACAAAACAGAAGTTTACTGTGCGAAGGAAATGAAGATAAAATAGAACAAATTAACATAAAAAAGAATAAATTATATATAACGTGTTTAAGGATTTCAAAACACAGAGTAAAAATATAATCCCATTAATTCCAAAAGCACCCTCTTAAGGTACTCATACCAGAGAGAATTTCCTTCTCTATCACCCTCACTGGGGCTTAGTTTAATTGTGGTTATAACGGCCAGTCTTGAGAATTTGGTAGACTCATCCTGGAACCTTCATATGACTGAGCTTAAACATTCCAAGTTTCAAATAAATCCTTCAGGGTTTTAACCAAACACTCTGGTCTGAAACATCTACGAAACTCCTGACATTAAGATAACCTATTTTCAGCGATTTGAAATGTCTTTTGCCCTTCTCAAGAACAATTGCTTTACATATCCAACTACAACTAAGAAGCCTGCAATCTGCCCAAACTGAAACAAAAACACCTTTTTGTCCCTCAGCTACAGCTGTTTCTTCTCAGACCAAAAGATTCCATAATCTTCCACTTGATAGCTTAATGCACTCCACTGTTTACTTGGGTTCACTCATAAACTGTCCCAAATTCCGATTTGCCTACAAAAATATCTCTTTCAGACTCTGGTTGAAAAGACATCAACATAGCTACAAAAATAAGTACAAATTAATCATTAAAGCCCATTAGACACACACAACACCCATATGTCATGGGTTCAAATTCAAAAATCCAAAGTAAAACTAAAATATATTAAGATATCTATAAATCCAAAACCTGATGTCACAAGTTTAGTACTCCATTTGAGGTCGAGCCTTTGAATGTTCATCCGAACTTCCTTGCTTTTGCATTCTATGCATATATTTATGAATCTTTCTCATCCTGCCCTTTCACCTTCAATGATTTGTAAATGTTTACCCCACATCCCTCTGCTTTTTCCATTCTAAGAATTGCTTGGTAGCAATCAACTTTAAACATTGCTAAAAGGTAATAAGAAATTGAAGGGTCTTATCTTGCACTTAACAGAACCAAGAATGTGAGAAGCAGACTTGAAAAAACAGCATGAGAAGAAGGTGTTGATTGATTGGTCCATCCTTGGCCTGAAGATGCAGCAATAACTGTCAATTTTAATTCTCAGACCAGGCAGATAGATTCTGATTGATCAGTGCCTTGTATTATTTGAGAACTCTGCCAGTGGGTTCTCAGCTACTATCTTCCAAAAATCTATGTTCCCTGGTCAATATATGCACTGGGATTCTTATAGTCCTACAAAGCCATGCAGCAACTTGGAGGGACCATGCATCCTAGTCGGATGTTGGAGGTTCGCGCAGCGGCAGATAAGAACAGAGGGAATGTATGTGAATGTATGTGATGAGATTGATTTTATTGGCAACCTTGTGAATAGGACCCTTGCCATCTGCTTGCTATGTTACCTTGATAGAGCAAGTCAAAACTATTTTGCATGACAACAGAGAGCCTAATCAATCATCACTTGCGGTACATCGCAAAAACTCATGAAAAGGCCGATTTCCATCACTTTTATCCTTGAGTGGTCTCAATCTACCTCAGATTAGTCTGAAAGGGGAAGGTGTCTCAAAAATTTGAACAACAGGTAAAAGCTGTATTACAATGCTACTATACAGTAAACCCACAAGTGGTTTTCTCCACTAACAGGATATGCTGTCAAGCCAAAAAGATGCTTTGTCAATACTCCCAACTGAGTAATGTAACATGAGTTCCAGTGTGATTCCAGGTTTGTAGGCTGAATGTCCCAATGATTGGTGGACCACATCAAACAACACGTCCTGTTGCCTATTTGCAGTGGGAGGTATGCCAATTGTGTTCAACCAGTCCGTGCTTGCAAACCTCAGCATAGCATATATGTCATTAGATGTGATTCTGCTATTGGAAACCAATTTAAGATCATCAGTTGGACTCACAGTGTGATGCATTTATGTTTGTTAGAAGCTATGGATATAAATACATAGGAACCTCTATTATCCAGGTAAAAGTCACCTTTTTCACTCAAAAAGGGCTCGTGGAGACAACTAATTGCTGTGCCCCCCCATGGCAATACCCTGACCATTCAGAATCTACCTGCCTGATCTGAGAATTAAGGTTTTTAGTTAACTGTTCTTGCTTCATCTCCAGACCAATGATGGCCTAACCAATCAGCATCCTCTCCTCATCCATGTCTTCTTTCTTAAGTTTGTTTCTTGTATCCTAATTCTGATGAGTGAAAGAAGTAAAGCTTCTTGTCTTCTTAAGTAATTTTGTATTTCCTTTCCTCATTCTTTCTATCAAAATGTATCACTTCACCCACACCCGCATTAAATTTCATCTGCCACGTATCTGTCCATTCCACCAGTCCAATGACTTCTTCTTTAGAAGAAGTTCTGAAGAAGGGCCAACGGACCCAAAATGTTAACTTGGTTTTCTCTCCACAGATGCTGCCAGACATGCTGCGTTTCTCCAACAATTTCTGTTTTTGCCAAATGATACTTTTTATTGATTGTTAAATGCCTTGTTAATGCCACAACTTGCCTCATTAATATTCAGACTTCCATCTTAACCAAACGTACTAAGCAAGGTAGACATTGGAAAATTCACCAAGGAAAGCAAGCACATGCCTGGCAGATCCATCTTGCTGCTTGCTTCAAACTATCTCCATGTTGACTGCAACCAAACTGGAGCCCAGAGAATGATGCGTGGGCAGCAGCTGCAATCATTCCTTCTCCATGGACATTGACATTTGACATCTGCCAGCCCAACATGACCATCCTAGCACTTCTACTATGCACTGACATGATGGTCTGGAAGCAGAGACTTGAATTGGGAAGTGTACCAGCATTTTGTATTAAAAGCTGCAGCAGGGATAATTTGTGTGCAGGAACAGGCACCTAGCTGACTCACTGGACCAGGCTACATCTCATGGATATTCGCTTGCTATCGTAGCATTTGCTCACTTAGCATTTACCTGCTTGCTCCTTGCATCCCTGCCCTACATTGCCATGCCGTGCTAATTTGCACAGTCACAAAAATCAGGCAGCTTGCCATGCTGCTAAGCTGTCCTCAGTCTAGGAGGGATACATCTTGTTGTAAGGTAGTATGCTACATCAACCTCACAACTTCTCCATATGCCAGCAATTTACATGGAAAACGCACTGCTTGTGCAGTAAATGGGTAACCATGAATCCAACTTTAATAAGGCGGATGTAATCCTCATTGAAGCCCATGGAGGCACCTGTCAGTCAGGGGATCCTGGCACAGTACATTAAGGGAAGACTCCCGTACTAATCTTGCAGCTCTGCCAAGGTCAGGTGTCCAGTCATGAGAGTCTCAGCTGGGGGTTCGTGCCAAGGCTCTATAGTGATAAGTCAGGGGTTAGGGCTGATGCAGTCAGGGGAATGTATAGACATAGGCAAGGGCCTGGGTACAGGTTGTTGATTGTTGATTGAGGGAGTTGGGCCATAGTCTGTCTGTTGGGTCCATCCTCAGAAGCTGAGGGGGATCAGTTGGGTCGGGAATGAAATTGCAGCTGCAGCTGTGATCCTGAGCCTTGGCAATTTATAGCCTTGGGACTGCAGCCTTCAGATTCTGGGCAAGGGTACAATACAGTTCTGAAGAGGGGCAACAGGATTTTGAAGGGGGCAATAGTGTGCAGCATGGCTGGGAAGGCTGTAATGAGGGAGGGAGGTTTGTCCATGATAACTAGCACCCTGGCTTCAAGGGAAATGATGTGAATAACCACACTAGCATGGGTACTTATTTGCCAGGATCTGGGTGGGAGGGATAGACAGGTGTGGGTGAATATGGACATGTTTGGTGGAGACTTTTGAAATGTGAATCCTGTGGGATTAATGGGATGGGTCACCAAGAAGGGAATGTGCATATTTGAGGGTAGGAGCCACTGGATGAGGAGCGCACCTTTCCATCATGCTGGAAGTTGAAAATATGCAATGGGAAGAAAATGGCTGCAATCACGCACTGAGTCGGCAGGGTTAGTGACTTCAACCTGTGAGTAAGGGGCTGTAGCATATATCGTTCACCAGGCTTTTCATAGAATCATAGAATCCCTACAGTGTGGAAACAGGCCGTTCGGCCCAACAAGTCCACACCGACCCTTGGAGCATCCCACCCAGACCCATCCTCCTATAACCCACCTAAGCTACACATCCCTGAACACTATGGGCAATTTAGCATGGCCAATCCACCTAACTTGCACATCTTTGGACTGTGGGAGGGAACCAGAGTACCTGGAGGAAACGCACACAGACACTGGGAAAATGTGCAAACTCCACACTGACAGTTGCCCGAGGGTGGAACCGAAACCAACACCAACACCACCTGTGCAAAATCCTACAAATCCGCTGGGAAGACAGATGCACCAACATCGGCATCCTTGATCAGGCCAACATCCCCAGTATTGAGGTTCAGATCACCTTTGATTGGCTGTGATTGGTTGGGCATGTTGCCTGCATCACTGACATGAGACTCCCCAATTAGGCACTCTATTCCCAGCTCCAAAACGGCAGGTGAGCCTCAGGTGGACAGAAGAAACATGTCATGGATACTCTCAAGGACTCACGGACGATGTGCTGCATTCTCACCAACACTTGGGAATCACTGGCCCAAGACTATCCAAAGTGGAGGAGGAGCATCCAGGAAGGTGTCGAGTACCTCAAAACCTGCTATTGGAAAAAACGGAAGCCAGGCGAAAATAGTGTAAGGAGCATGCTACCACACCAATGCCCCATCCACCCCTTCCCAGGATCACTTTTGCCCCAAGTGTGGCAGAATCTATGAAAGTCGCATCAGACTGCACAGCCACCCATGGACTCACTGTGGAGGAGAGTCATCCTTGTCTGCGAGGGTCTGCCAGTGATGATCTCCTGCAGTCCTCCAAGTGCCAGCAATCTAGCCCATTTTTTCTTTGCATGGAACAATAGAAAAGAATTTCTGAAAGAAGTAAGGTGGAGGTTCCTGAAGGAGTTGGCTGAACCCCGTACTGTAAGCAAATTTGTCTAAATGGTGGCGAAAACAGAGACAATTGCTTCATGGACCTGAATCTCCTAAGTGCATTATATCCAGTCAGAACCTATTGCAGACTCTGATTTCTAAATGGTTACAGCCACAAGGTGGAAGCAATACTAAGATATCAGTACAAATAATGCCTCTGGGTATTGATTTTTCTTGCATAATGGTGTAAGTGTAGCCCAGTTCCAGTCTATTTATTTCCTACAGTTCAGCCAGTCCTGAGTGATCTGATAGGAAGCTTTTCCTGCTCAGATGAAAGGTAATTTTCTGGTTGTAACAGTTTATATAAGGTTGGATATATCTTTTCCAGATTTGAACTGTTGCTTCCTTTGAAGGGGTCTATTCTTTAGCTCCATGAATATCTTTTATTCTTATCTGGAAGTCTGAAAAAGTTCAGAAACAGCTTTACTGTTATCTTTTCTCTACCATCATTTTATCTGACCTGGTTGGATGGTATGTGCAATGTGCATCGGTGTGAACAGGCAAATGCAGGAGCTCTTGGCTGGTCTGTAATATACATACCCCCTGCTCACCAACTTCATTGTTGATTAAGTTCTCTGTCAATGCTTTGAAGGGGATTGTTGGAGGGTAGTGGAGGCATACCTCTGCAAGAATCAGTGGTTTTAGTAAACAGGCATAGAGCCTCGATGCAGTCATGTCGGCTGTGTGTCTCTCTCTCTCTCTCTTTCTCTCTCTCTCTCTCTCTCTCTCTCTCTCTGTGTCTCTTGCTGCGTGCCACCCCCCACACACTCACAAATGTACACATGTGCGCGTGCATACACACACACAAACACACAAACACACACACACGGGTGCACACAGTTAAAAGGCAAAGGGAAGATAAAACTATTAAAAGAAAATACACAGTTCGGAGTCCTTTTGCTATTCTTCAGGCGTAAGTTTTTAACCTAAGACCAAGGTTGGTTAGTTACTTCTTGGATGCAGTCAGCAATAACAAATGTTGTAATTATTTTTAGACTGCTTGATCATTTGATGCTTCTTTCAATCAGTCAACCAGGCCTTTTTCTCCTTGGAAGAGAGAGCCGTCTTAGCCTGTCATCAGATCTGAATTCTCAATTCTATCTCTCTTGGTCTGTCAAAACAGCTCCTTAAAATAAAAGGAATTTCTATGTTCCATGTCTAAGGAGGTTATTGTGTCCAGGCTGCTAAATCTTGCAGATATTTCATTTCCAACATGTGAAGACTTTCGTAATGGCATAAATCAAATAGGAGATGAGGACCTTTTTATGCTTCCCATGGGGTCAGACTGACTGATTTCATTGCCCTTAGGGGAAATTATTTCTTTCAGCTCAGTCTGTCTTTGGTCAAATCCACACTGGTTCTCATGAAACTTGGCCATCTGTGTGGGTCACGTGATCCCTAAGGCCTTTTACGTCAGTATTTTGGTCCTTTCAAAAAAACTATTTCTGTCCATGAAAGTCCCAGCTATTTAATCAGCTGATGAAATTCAAAGACTAACAGTCCATATTTTGTATCATCATGACAAATGAGACGCAAAACAAAATGATAAACCCACCAGGAAAGTATTCATTTAACAAACATATACTTAACACATTACTGGCTGTAGTTTAGGGTTACCCAACCCTTTAATAAAAGCTGCAGTTTCCAAGATTTGAAAATTAGCCTTCAGAAACCTGTTAGTACGATCATGGAAGGTATCATTTTCTTTGCACATTTTAGTTTATTAGTTAAAAACCTATCGGAATTGGGGAAGAAGAGGTTTTTGATTGAAGAGTCAAGAATCATTCCATTGCTTTTCGCATGGTCTGAGGATGAGGTGCACTCTGAAGATCAACCAGCGGTGAAATTGTAGAGGTGGTATGGTGGTTGGAGGCAGAGTGTCATCTGATGAAACCTCCTGAAATATATGCCATCAGAACTGACAACCGAATTGCATAGAATTTGAATTTTCTTTCTTTAGATCCAGAAACAAAACCTTCTAATGTTCTCAGCTATGGCTGCGTGATTTTAAAACAATATTGAACTCTTTTGTGAATTGTTTGTGTTATTTACAGGGAACAATCATACATGGAGAGTGTTGTCACCTTTCTGCAAGATGTAGTTCCACAGGTATGTGATATAATTGCGTAAATTCCTTCACAAAAGGTATTCTGTCTGTGTTGTACTCCATATGCAATAGAATTCCTCAAGTAAAAACAATTGTTGTAAAACTAAAGTAAAATTAGAAAATGCTGTAAATCTTAATTAAATGAATCAGCATCTGAAATTGTTTTGAGAGAATATTGGTTAACATTTCTGCCCGGAATGCTTGAAACACTGCCGATTAAGTTGTCTTTAAGTTGTTCTGCCTGTGTGTATTCCCAATGTTTTTTTAAACTGTTCATGGGATGTGAGCATCATTGGCTAGGGCAGCACATATTGCTCATTTCTATTTGTCCTTTTTAGTAACTTACACAATTGGGATACGTCTTACAACTTTCTTCACTGTGCATTGGACTTCTGGCAGGATTGGGCATTGGAGGAACAGGTCCAAAGCTACACCCAGCTCTCCAACACACTTTTCCCAGTTCACTACGTTGAAACTACTAATGTCCTTTGAATGCCGTTCCACTCGGCATATGCCTTGCCAATCTGAATTTCACCAAATTTCAACAAATCCTCGTTCTTTAAATTTCCAAAAATCCTGTCTCTTATACTCCTTTTCTCTCAAATAGAAAACTAGCCCTCAGAAGCACTCTGCTTGATTGTTAACACAAGCAGTCCCCCTGCACTTTACAGTGTCACTGCTTTGTTCTTCCACAAAATAGTATCTGTCATGTTTCTGCCTCGGTGGAATCTTTAAGGCATGCAGGAAGTGAGGAAGGAGGGGATGGTGGCCTGGAAAGTGAAACAGGTTGTCATTGGGACTAACTCACTTCATTTTCCTACTTGCAGCTAAGTAAGCTCCAGGTGAGAAAGCCCAGGGATGATCTTCTTTTCTGCCTCTGCTTAAGACCCTGAGTGATTAATTAACTACAGCTTACGGACCTGTTCCCAATGGGCTGCAATTTTCTCAGTTCCAGGTGGGACAAATTAAGTCCCTCCATCTACACTAATTTGTGTATGATTGAGAAATGCGGGACAAGGGTACAGTTCCTGAAAAACAATCCCTGTTCTTGCTTCTAAACCGCATGGACTCCTCTTTGTGAAAACATCTTGAAAGACCCTCCCATCTTCACAACACCCACTTTATCCCTGGTTGCTTCTCCATCCTTGCAGTCCAGGAGGGTCCATTGTACCAGCAGCAGCGGAGGCTACCTATGTTAGTCCTGCAAGCTTGTGATTTTTCACAGCTTTGGGAGGTTGAGGAGGAAAGCCTTCTGGTGTCCATCTAAAAGTGTTTGATGGGCGCAAGATCTGGCAAGCCTTCTTTCTAGGAGTGAGTGCAGGCATCTCAGTGCTTTTGCAGGCAGCTCACAAGAAACTTGTCCAACACAGAAGGTTCTCCCTCTGTGTCTCAAAAAACAGCTCCCGAAGTGTGAAAACTGCCACTTGATATTTCAGTAGATTTCTGTTTGAATCTCTCCCCTGTGGCAACCAGATCAAAAAGGCCTATTTGAGCTGGGACTTTTAAAGCATACTTTACATTTTGTAAAGTACAATGTTCGTAATAGTTTTTTTTTATCATTTAGATCTGGTCCTTCACAGATTTCTCTTTCCTAAAGACCCTCAGTTTGTTTAACCTTTCCTGATGGTTATAGCCTCAGTTCTGGTATCAACAACTGAGCCTACTTTTGTTAGTTTGAAATTGTTTAACTGTTGATCTGAACTGAAATTGTTTCATTTGTTTAACTGAATAATTAAAATATTTTTCAAGCAGAAAATAACTTTGAATTAACAGTGCTGTTTATCACTGTGTGAGCGTTTAATGCATTCCAGTGGAATGCCCTTGTCTGCTAATTTAACAGGTGTGTTAAGTCATTGAAAAAGAAGACCAGAACATTTTGATGCAAGTGGCTTTGTGCATAAGTTGCAGGAAATTTAGATGTGTATTTACTAAACTAACAGCAAAATTGAGGTTGCATGAAAGATCTTTGATGAGCGTATCCATTGATCCTTTATTTAGTATTGGAGTTCCTATTTTATTTGTGTCTGTTACCCATGCAGTATTACAGCAGGAGGAATCTTGCAGTGAAAATTATATCTTTGTTACCTTTGCTTATTCCCAAGTGAAAAAAGACTCTACCAGGTACAGTGAAATCCATATAAAACATATAAGCGCATTGCTTAATTCTTGGATTGAGCTTTATTTTAAAAAAAAGTATATATTTTCTTGGCCTGCCCATTCCTAATTGCTCAGTAGACACATTGCTGTACAGTATGAAGTCATATGTAGGTTGGAACAAAAGGTGGCAGATCCTTTCCTGCAGATCATAAATGAAGTAGTTTAGATTTTTACAGTGATCCAGCAGCTTTTGTGATTTTCTTCTGGCGCCACATTTATTGGATTCTGTTGCACAAATTGCTATGGTGGGATTTGATTTTATCACCTCTGTGTAGCTATCCTGTTGCCACAACCACTATGCTACCAAGCTGCCATATTAGCTGATGTCATCAGGCTTATAATAGGGATTCTACGACACAGAATAAGCTTGAATCTTGCATTTAATGAACCATGAGGTACTCTTTCGTTAAGTGTCTGGAGGGAAATTTACTTGTTCACTTATTATAACACTGCTGTTGAAGTTGAGTCTGCTATTGCTAAGAGCGTTGTTAGATAAATACACCTTTAGATGCATTGGGACTGAAATCTATGACCATAGTATCTTTATTATTGATGATTGTAGACAAATTGATAGATTGGACTAGGTTAGATTGGGATGGCTGCTCAGCACAGACTTGTTGGAATGAAGGATCTGTTTCCATGCTGTATTACTCAATGTTAATGTATGCATAATATTTTTAGTTTTCTTTACATCAATTTCATTTTTTATTTTCAGGCATACACTGGCTCATCTCCAACGGATGAGAAGGAAAAAATAGTCTGGGTCCGTTTTGAGAAAGCTGATATTAATGGTAAATGCAACTTTTTAATTTCCATAGCTATTTTCTACCATTTACCTGATTGAAGTAATATCATTAGGGTTCCAGCAAATTGGGCTTATCCAAAGGTAGCCAAAGGTGGGCCAAAATGCAGCCCACTGAGGGGTTCTTTATGATTTACCAGCATTTTATTCAAAATATAATTGAGTGTAATGGGAAGGTCATGCAAGATTCTGCTCCTCCAGCAGAGGCCATTTTTCTCCTGTATTTGTTTCTGATAGGTGAGCCTTTCAGCTGCAAATACAGGAGAGAAACAGTATGTCATTAGAAGAGAAGTAAGCAGCATAGCGTGATGGAGGCCTGGAACCATGGTGATGAGTTTGTGGTATGTAACCCTGGACAATTACAGGGAGATCACTGGGGTAGACAGAAATGAGAGTTGGGCCAATGAGAAATAGGCTGCTGGCTGGCTGACTGGCTGTTAGGCAAGAGACTGGATGTGTGGCTGACTGGAGGAAGAGAGGGAATAACGAATGTGTGTGGGTGATAGACAAGAGGTCGTGAGTGCAGTGGTTGCAGTAACAGCATGCCCCATGACTGTTTGGAATATTAGACCAGATGTATGTTAGTACCTTCACAACCATCCTGTAAAGCTCAACAAGTCTCCTTTAATCAGTGAACTTCCAGGCCTCTGTCAGTGGGTGAGTGTGGGTGGATTGGTGAGGGAGTGAGAGTGGGTGGATTAATATGTGAGTGAGTACGGGTCGATTGGTGAGTGAGTGAGTGCAGGTAGATTGGTGAGTGAGTGAGTGTGGGCGAATTGGTGAGTGAGTGATTGCAGGTGGATTGGTGAGAAAGTGAGTGCGGGTGGACTGGTGAGAGACTGATTGCGAGTGGATTGATGAGTGAGTGAGTGCAGCTATATTGGTGAGGGAGTGAGTGTGGGTGGATTGGCATAACAGTGAGTGAGTACGGGTGAATTGTTGAAGGACTGAATGCGGGTGGATTTGTGAGAGAGTGAGTGCAGGTGGATAGGCGAGGGAGTGAGTGGGATGGATTGGTGAGAGAGTGAGTGCAGGTGGATTGGTGAGGGAGTGAGTGGGATGGATGGTGAGGGAGTGAGTGCAGGTGGATTGGTGAGGGAGTGAGTGCAGGTGGATAGGTGAGGTAGTGAGTGTGGGTGGATAGGTGAGGGAGAGAGTGCAGGTGGATAGGTGAGGGAGAGAGTGCAGGTGGATAGGTAAGTGGGGTGGATTGATGAGTGAGTGACTGCGGTTGGATTGGTGAGTGAGCGAGTGTGGTTGGATTGGTGAGTGAATGAGTGCGGGTGGATTGGTGAGTGAATGAGTGCGGGAGTATTGGTGAGGGATTGTGGGGGGATTGGTGTGTGAGTGAGTGAGTGTGGGTGGATTGATAAGGGAGTGTGGGCGGGTGCATTGTTGAAGGAGTGATTGCGGGTGGATTGGTGAATGAGTGAGTGTTTGTGGATTGGTGAGTGATTGTGGAGGGATTGATGAGTGAATGAGTGTGGGTGGATCGATGAGTGAGTGAGTGTGGGTGGATTGGTGAGGTAGTGAGTGTGCGTGGATTGGTGACTGAGTCTGGGTGTATCGGTGAGTGATTGCGGGGGATTGATGAGTGAGTGAGTGTGGGTGGATCGATGAGTGAGTGAGTGTGGGTGGATCGATGAGTGAGTGAATGAGGGTGGATTGCTAAGAGAGTGAGTGCGGGTGGATTGGTGAGTGGGGTGGATTGGTGAGTGTGGTGAATTGGTGAGAGAGTGAGTGCAGGTAGATTGGTGAGAGAGTGAGTGCAGGTAGATTGGTGAGGGAGTGAGTGCAGGTGGATTGTGAGTGAGTGAGTGCGGGTGGATTGATGAGTGAGTGAGTGCGGGTGGATTGGTGAGTGAGTGAGTGCGGGTGGATTGATGAGTGAGTGAGTGCGGGTGGATTGGTGAGAGAGTGAGTGCGGGTGGATTGGTGAGTGCGGATGAATTGGTGAGAGAGTGAGTGCGGATGAATTGGTGAGAGAGTGAGTGCGGGTGGATTGGTGAGAGAGTGCGTGCGGGTGATTGGTGAGTGAGTGAGTGCGGGTGGATTGGTGAGTGAGTGAGTGCGGTTGGATTGGTGAGTGAGTGAGTGTGGGTGGATTGGTGAGTGCGTTAGTACAGGTGGATTAGTGAGAGAGTGAGTGCGGTTGGATTGGTGCGGGAGTGAGTGTGGGTGGATTGGTGAGTTAGGGAGTCTGGGTGGATTGGTGAGGGATTGTGGGGGCGATTGTCGAATGAGTGAGTGTGTGTAGTTTGGTGAGTGATTGTGGTGTGAATTGGTGAGGGAGTGAGTGTGGGTGGATTGGTGAGGGAGTGAGTGCGGGTGAATTGGTGAGTGAGTGAGTCTGGGTTGATTGGTGAGTGAGTGAGTCTGGGTGAAATGGTGAGTGCAGGTGGATTGGTGAGTGCATGTGCGGATGGATTGGTGAGTGAGTGTGTGTGGGCAGAGTGGTTAGCAAGTGAGTGAAAGTGTGGATGAATTGATGAGTGAGTGAGAGAATGTGGGTGGAGTGATGAGTGTGAGTATATCTGAAATGGTATGGGAGTGTGAGAGTGCAAATGAATTGCTGAGTGAGCAAATGAATGCGTGTGGATGCTTGAATGAACAAATGAATAAATCTGGGCATGTTGGTGAGGGTGGGGTGGGAAGATGAAGGTGGGTGGGTGGTTGTATATGTGGGTGTTTGGGTGCATTTGGGTGGATCAGTGAGTGTGTTTAAGTTGTTCATACATCCATGCTTATTTTCCCCTTCCCTTGCCAAAATTCTCTTCACAAAGCAGACTGCTGGAGGACAAAAACCCAGGCTAAAATGCAACATGCTTCCAACCTCCAACTTTGATGTGAATTCTGCCAAGACCAGCTCCTTTGTGCCCCAGCAGAATGATTGAAAGTCATTGTTAGTTAAATCCCATTTCTTAGGTTCGCCATAGCCCTGGCCCCTTCCATGATAATCAGGACTCGGGGCCTAATCTTGTGCTCTCTCTCGCTCAGCTTCTTAACTGGAAGGGTTAACAAAAGAGGTATTACTAGTTAGATCCGCTGCTGTGTGCTTTTTATTGGCCATGTTTATCAATTACTCATTCAAATGATAAATTTATTGTTTTGAAATTTTTATTTATAATTCATGTTTAACACTGTGGTAAACCTTAACTCTGAAAATTGTTCACTGCCTCCCCGATTGAGAGAAAAATGTGTTGCTTCACGTAAAAAAACTTGTCAACCCTGCTATAAACCATTGTATGTGTGTGTACAACATCCTGATTGTTGCTGTTTGTTTCAATAGGATTTTAGTGAAGCATAATGAAAGGTGAATGGTTCACCCCAGCGCTATTTGAATAAGGAAACTTTTTCAATGATACTGTTGCGGTATAGTTTTAATTGTAGAACACAGATCTGTGCTTGGTGGTGGTAATGAAGCAATCAGCCCAAACATTGGAGGTGTAACACTTGACTAGTGTGTCCATTAACTTGACTATTCAGCACTGCAACTCTTGAGGTTTTTTGCTGTCATAGAGTCATACAGCACAGAAACTGACCCTTCGGTACAATTTGTCTATGCCGACCAGGTTTCCCAAACCGAACTAGTCCCATTTGTCTGTGTTTGGCCTATATCCCTCTAAAATTTTACAACTCATGTACCTGTCCAAATGTCTTTTAAATGTTGTAACTGTACCTGCATCTACCACTTTCTCTGGCAGTTCATTCCACATATAAACCACCCGCTGTGTGAAAAAGTTGCTCCTCAGGTCCCTTTTAAATCTTTCTCCTCTCACTTTAAAAATATGCTCCCTAGTTTTGAACTCCCCCACCCTAGAGAAAAGACATTTGCTACTCACCTTATCTATGCCCCTCTTGATTTTATAAACCTCTATAACGTCACCCCTTAACCTCCTATGCCCTGGTGAAAAAAGTCCCAGCCTATCCAGCCTCTCCTTATTACTCAAACCCTCCAGTCAAGACAACATCCTGTTAAATGTTTTCTGAACCCTCTCCAGTTTAATAATATCCTTTCTATAGCCGGGTGACCAGAACTGTACACAGTACTGCAAAAGTGGCCTCACCAATGTCCTGTACAACCTCAATGTGACGTCCCAACTTCTATACTCAATGGTTCGAGCGCTGAAGTGTGTTGATGCTTTCTTAACCACCCGATTTGTAAGGTGGTGTGACAACAATTCTATTGAGCTGAATAGAACCAAAACAATTAAATTAGCTATAGACTTTAGAAAAGGGCTAGTTAATGATCATAAAGATCCACAATGTGGACATAAAAATATTTAATAACTAAAATATGCCACTTAGTTTTGAACTCCTTCACTTACTATGGGTTCTGTACGACGGGGGTGCTAAGACAACAAAGCTGGAGTGCCATCTTGGGATCAAGAATTAATATTTATGAGACAACAAGGTGCAGAGCTGGATGAACACAGCAGGCCAAGCAGCATCATAGGAGCAGAAAGGCTGACGTTTCGGGCCTAGACCCTTCATCAGAAATGGGGGAGGGGAAGGGGGTTCTGAAATAAATAGGGAGAGAGTGGGAGGCGGATAGAAGATTGATGGTGGAGAGGAAACAAACAGGTCGAAGAGGCGGGGATGGAGCCAGTAAAGGTGAGTGTAGGTGGGGAGTTAGGGAGGGGATAGGTCAGTCCAGGGAGGACGGACAGGTCAAGGGGGCGGGATGAGGTTAGTAGGTAGGAGATGGGGG